CTTCGACGTGTCAACCCGACCACCGCCACCTCCACCACCACCATCACTAGTCCTCCTCCTCCTCTTCGTTCCCGCCGCACTGCCGCCTGTGGAGTCCCTGCAAGCTGCTGCAGCCGTTTGGGGCTGTAAGACATGTACCCTGGACGTGCAGCTCGATACCAAATTCGTTCCTCTTGTTTCCGTTCCCCATCTGGACAAGATGAATCGCTGTTGTTGTGATGTGGTCGGGTTGCGTTGCGTTGTGTTGAGCATATCGTGCCCAATGACTGTGGATCCCCTTTGCTGTGTGTTTTGGTCTCTCTCTCACCCGCTCACCCGGCTGGTCAGATGTCTAAACAACACACAAATGATCCTTTGCTTTTGACTGCTGCGTTTGGCGCCTGCCATCGACTCATCAAGGTTATCATCGCCATCGATTCGGATCTGCAAAACAACGGTGGCCTCACCAGAGCATGTACCAGTAGAGGTACGAACTCTGTCATGCCACTGAGGCAAGTACCTGGTGAGTATGGACGAAGAATACCATTCAGAAGAACCTCCAGGGTCTGTCTGTCCACTTGGACCTTGATCAGTCAATCAAGTCTTTACAATACATTGCGGCTCTGGGCACCTCAGCCCTGTTGTGCCCTGATGTGCTTCTTTTTTTTCTCTCCCTCCTTCTCTGTTTCTTTCCTTTTCTTCTTTGCCCTCCTTCTCCCTTCTGACCCTTTCCCAGGTACTAGCGGTACCACCCACAGAGCACTAACTTAAACTCTGCGGTACGTACATGGCAAGTACGATGTGGTGTGTGGGCTGTAAGCGGCCATGCAATGCTACCTTACCAGCTAGCTTCGTCACTGGTGATCGGGAGACCCTTAATCCTTGCCCTATGCGCTGCACCCCTGCTCCACGCCTCTTTCCCTCTTCTTTTTCTTACACCCCCATCAATCAATCCTTATTAGACATGCTCACTGCCTCATCTCGCCCCCCCCCCCTCCCTCTCTTCATCCTCCTCTGCCAACGTCTTCTTTGAAAACGGTTCTCTTGTTCTGCCTGTTTCCTTCGTTGCACTTTCTTCTCTTTTTCCTTTCCTCTGCTCCTACCCGATCTCGACGACTTCTACTTCACACTCGCTTTCGGAACAACAACATCGTCGCCTGGCTGAACTGACAGAATACTCTCGCTTACGCAGCCCACCTACATACAATATTTATTTATTCTTATCATATTCGGGCGTGCCAGGCTACGCATATACTGTACACACATACACACATACCAACGACTACACAACCACACAAAAGAGACAGACAAACAACAAGACGCTGTATATCTCATCACAGCAGCAACCTCCTTCTCCTCCTCCACCCATGCCCCGGTGACGGAAGAAGGGGGAAAACGGAATCGCAAACATGCTCCCTCCAGACATGTTCCTCCGCCTCCCCAGACCAACCGCCCTCCTCCTCCTCAGCAGTGTGCTGTCCCTCACCTCAGCCCACATCGCCCGCCAGACGCCCACCAACGTGCCCCACAGGCCGCTGAATGTGGTCGCCTATCCACCGCCCTCGGCGCCTACATCTCCACCACCCGAGACACCACAGGCGCTTCACGAGCTGCTGCTGCTGAGGAGGCAGAACACCAACACCATCTGCGGCTATATAGATGGCGACCCTTCCCTGCCAGCAACATGCTCAGCCGGGTCGCACTGCGTCGTGGACACGGATCACGGCGTCATCGGCTGCTGCCCCAACGGCCAGCCCACCTGCACGGCTGGCGTCTACACGGGCTGCGTAGATGCCAACAGCGGGCACCAGACCGAGGTCAACCCGTACGTCTACACTTGTACGGGCGCCAACGTCTGCTACAAAAATGTCTTTGAGGGCGGCTACTCGCAGTTCGGCTGCGGCACTGCGAGCAGCCTCGCCGCCACCGTCTTGGAGAGCGCCACCGGCGTCGCCACCAAAGTCTCCCTCACCAGCGAGCCTGTCTCATTTACGCATGAAGCGACCTCACTTAATATCCCCTCGGTGATCGACACCAGCTCAGCATCTCCTACGGAACCCTCGTCCTCTTCCAGCGACGCTCCGTCCTCTTCCTCAACAGCGTCCTCCTCCTCATCGAGCGATTCATCCACCAGCTCGAAGACCACACTCGTCATCCCTATCCCTACCTCAGATATGAGCTCCATGATGACGACGACGACGAAGACGTCATCGTCACCAGGAAGCTCATCACCAACCTCTGCCACAGGATCTTCCTCCTCATCAGGTTCTTCTCCAGTGTCCTCCTCATCGACGTCGGGATCAACACCCACCGCCGCGCCAGCGACTAGCGGCGGGGAGGCAAGCAGCTCCAGCGGCGTCAACCGCACGGGCGCTATCGTGGGCGGTAGTATCGGCGCTGTAGCCGCCGTCGTGGGGCTCGCCGCTGCTGCTGCCTACCTGCTGCGTCGTCGTGCAGGCAACACCCGCCAGGGACCTGGCCCCCGCGCAGGCGACACGCAATACATCAGCCCCATGTCTGGCGGTGGTGGGGGCGGCGCCTTTGTACCACTGGGACAGCAGGTTTCAGACGGCAGGGGCGGTCCTGTCGCCGGGAGGACGATCAGGGCCGTCCCAGGGTCGACTAGGAACACAGTGTGGCAGTATGGCAGCGACGGGGCGCACCCGGATGATGCTCAATTCCTCGATCACGACCAGGCTGCCTGGGGCGTGGGCGCGGCTGGTGTTGGTACTGCTGCCGCCGCCGGTTCCGGTGCGTTTAGGGGCGCCTATGCGAGCCCGCACGACAGCCCCGGTGAGGACCAGATACCGCTGTGGCAGCAATTCCCCGAGATTGATGACTTCTCGCGCAACTTCAACGACGCTCTGAGCCGGATTGGCGAGGAGGACGAGGACGACCTCGAGGGCGGCGTCAACAACGGCGGCATGAGCGGTGGCGGTCGTGAGAGCAGCACCGGTGATGTGGCTGAGGCAAGGCCGCTCTGGCTGCAGTCTAGGCGACAGTCAAGAAATCTTATGTGGACATGAATGATTTGTGGAATGGAAGGGAAATGCAAGAACAGAAAGAGGAGAAGAAGAAGAAGAAGAAGAAGAAGAAGAAGAAAAAAGGAGAAAGGGGCAGGCGGGTCGTTTTTGACATTGGTATATCTGGTTTAAGCGAAGGCGCACAATGTTTCTGGGAACCATTTTAAATAACTGGCCCTGCCCATCATCTATTCCATGGACAAGTGGAATCATATAGACTGGATAGAGATACCATACCCTATTTTATGTTAATCTTGACAACGAAACGGGCTTCAATGCTCCACGCTTCATTTCCCCAAATCTCTGTGTTGTCCCTTTCTCTTCCTTCAACATTGAGTCTAAACTAGATATACGCTTCCCCTCCTATCATGTATACAGGATTTGTTTTGGAACGCCTTGACGCGCCAGCAGGTCATTTGCCGTCCACCTTCTGTGTCGCAGCTGCAAGAGAAAGAAGAGGGGGAAAGAAAGGAGAGAAGAATAAGAAAGAATAAGAAGAATAAGCAAGAATAAGAAGAATAAGAAAGAATAAGAAGAATAAGAAAGAATAAGAAGAATAAGAAAGAATAAGAAGAATAAGAAAGAAAAGTCGATACTCATTTCCAATCTAACGGCTGCCAAGGTGGTGCCATATGACGGCAAATCGGTGAGACATGTGAATCATTCTTTTCTGACGAGAGAAATACTACAAATGAGGCGAACTGCATTGCCTGACATCGCTCTAGTGTCCAGTCCTGGAGCAAGGACTTACTGTACCAAAGTGAGCGTGGGGGTGGTGGGGTGGGCCTGCTGAGAGAGAGCGGCACGAGTTCCCGAAAGGTGGAGATGCTTGCAGCATGGAATTTTGACGGCCTGTTTTAAATGGGAGAGTTCTGGCACATTGTTGATACTTGGTCTTGGCATATCTTGTCGAATTCCTCTGGGCAGAGAGAAGGAGAGAGGGAGAGGGAGAGGGAGAGGGAGAGGGAGAGGGAGAAAGGAAGGCCGTCAAGAGGTGATGGCGTGTGGCTGTGACAATCCATGAATGCTTCTGCCTACAACTAATGGCCCATTCCTCTCAACTCTCTCTTCCCTCCTGTAGTGTATCTTGTTAGATTGCCTCATGGCTTTATATGCCTCACAAGGGTACAGACAACACTTTAATGACTCCTTCTGTCTCTCTTCCTTACCTAGCCAAGATATGTCCACTTTTTGGGCTGTGCCAGAGGCATACACGTTTTGCTCACATGCATGCAAGCCTCATAAGGCTGTGAAGTTCAGCTAGCCAGGGTACACCCAAGCTGTCCAAGCTAACCTCCTTAAGGCAGGCAAATCATCCGTACTTGAGCCACAACGCCAGTGGTGGTGTACTCATGATAGTAAGAAAAGCAACACCAAAAAGAAAGAAAACCCCCATAGAATTTGCTTGGCAGACCAATCATTGACCCCTCCTGCTGCTCCGAATCATCAGGAATGGGGACCTCTTTTGTTTTCGGATCGGTAGAGCGTGTATGGCACACACCCTCACTTCCTTCTTTAGCGATTTATCGTCTTACAGGCATGCGTGGCGTTTCCGGCCGGCGTCAGTTGATACGCCCCAAATCAGCTCCATTTCACTGATAGGGTCCTACACTAGTGGGGAGATAAGTTGAGGTGTAGGCCAAGTCTCTCTCTCTGCGTGTGCAAAAGACCCGCTGCTGCAAGCTGTAGTGTGCGCCGAGGCGGCTCAGTTGCTTGGGATTAAATGTCTCCCCAAAGTACGCAGCGTTTATTATTTGGAAGTGCTCTTGCTTTCCTGTCCCCCTCTCTCATGTTCTCTCTCGAATATTATCCCATCCTTCGTACCATTAGCGATTGTTTTATTTTCTTTACGTACATTCTGGGCTTCATTCGAATGATTAATTTGTACCATATTACTATACATACTAAATTACTAAGAGGGAGAAAGATATCATTATAGCATGAGTAATAGCGCATTTTCAAAGCAGGCAGGCGCTTAGTTATCATGGCAACCGCATCATGTTCAACAATCCAGTGTTTTATTCCAGAATTATCAGCTCTCAGCAACTACACAACAACCAGATCCCCTTACCTAGGCGGACAAAACTTCCTCAAGGGCTGCCTCCTTGCACTCAACGACTCTCTCACCATCATCGACGGCAAGCTCGCCAAGACAGACAACTTCTTCGCCTTCGACCCGAGCACCACCATCGCTGACATCCTAGACGCGGCCATCAACGACTCCATCTGCTCCTCCGTCACCGGACGCCCACCCGAGGTCTGGGTCCCGTACGAATGGTGTCTGAACCGCCTACCAGGATGGCAATCCGCCTCTTTGTCAGGAGCCATGGGCCCGCTGGTGCAGTTTATCCTCCCCTGCATCGCCTTCTGCTACAACATTCCGCGCGAGTGGAAGGTCCGCGTTGGCCTCCTGCGGGAGAAGCCCAATCTCGACCTCGGCCTGCGGGCGCCGACTGACACGAATCCTACTGCTCCACGGTCTTCTCCCTCCTCCTCCTCCTCCTCTTTTTCTAGACTGTGCCGCCGCATCGGAAAGTCCGTAGGGGTATGGGCAAATGGGTTCGTCATCCTTGTGGCCGTCACCTTTGAGCTTGGTGTTCTGGCCCTCGACACGCTACTCTGGATGGCTATCTGCTTCGTCATGGCGGGGCCCATGATCATCAGCGCAGCGTACGAGTACCGTTTGGACTGGAAAAACCTCGACATGCTGGCGCACAGAGGGGCAGGGGTTCCCAACGTGTCGAGGGCGCGGCTGCTCTTGTGTACCGTGGCTGGGAACATGAAGATGCGAGATGATAAGGGCAAGGACGAGGAGGAGGGGGAGGAGATGGGCGGGCTCTTAGAGGCGCAGGGGCGGTCGGCATGGGTCCAGATCATGAGTATTGCCGAGGAGGTAAGACAGCTGGAGGAGAATGCTCATCATCACAGTACTGCTGCTCGTCAGGACAAGCCACAGGCCGTCAGTCAGGTCGACGGGCTTGGTCTTAGCCCCTTTCCGGGTCGAAACAGCTCTGTTGTTGCTGTTGAGGCCGAGGGCACGCGCGTTGGGCCGCGACTGAAGTTACAGACTCTACTTGATGCTCAACCAGGGTAAATATTCATTCATTTTCCCTTCCTTTTCTTTTCTTTGATTCGCTTCTCTGCATATTTCTTTTCGTGGGGGGTGGGTGGGGGGGCAAAATCAACGAATAGCCCAGAGAAACTAATGCAAACAACCAAAATAGTTTTGGCGGATACATTGGTGCGCCTACAGTCTTTTTCATAGGCAGTTTCGGCTACAATATCGCAGACAGCGACAATAGCCCAGGCCAAGAGACCGTCGCAATCACGCTCGCATTCGGCATGTTTTGGATGTACATCCCACACACAGCCGTCATCTCCAACACCCTCCTCGCGAGCAACGACCCCAGTACATTGCAAGGTCTCGTTGGCAAGAAAGCCGAGAAAACCCGACAGTTCCAAGACACCCAAAACCCCGGCAAAACCCCGTTGGAACGACTCACCAACTCGTCGAGGCGCAAGATCCACGACCTCAAGAGAAGCATCACCAAGCCCGCCTACGAGTCCACCTATGAGCCGGTCGCCATGTGGAAGCGCGGGCCCAACAAGCAATCCTGGATGTTCGAGACCATCAAGGTCATCAGAGACATCCACCGAGACGATTGCCCGCCGGACGCCGTCAAGGTCATCGAGAGCGCCTTGGTCTTTGGCCGCAGAGACTGGGCTTTTGCCCTCTCACTTACCCTCCTGCTGCTGTCCATCCCGTATGTGCTAGCATTCACGACTTCCTACCTCACACCGATGAAGGGGCTGTCTTGTAGGAGCCTGACGCATACCGTCTTCTTCTTGTCGCAGTGCATCCAGGTGGCCATCTGGAGCTTCGACACGCACCGCACAGTCGCAAATTGGAGGAGAAGAGCAAACATTCATATTATACAGGTGCCACCACCACAGCGAACATCGACCGTCCACAACCACTGGGTGCAGGTGGCATGGGCCAAAGCTCACTGGGTTGTTCGGACCACGGCTACGCTCCTCGCTCACCTTTCTGGATTTGTCAAATTCCTAGCACAGATTATATCGCTTTTCTCTGCCATTGGGGGTACTATTATGCAGATTACTGGAGTATACTATAACTGTGCATGTCAGGTGAGTCTGCCTAGCGCTCATGAATCTCTTTTTTTTTTTTCTTCCCCTCTTTTTCTTTTTGTTATTCCTTCAGTCCTTTTTTTCTTTCTTTCTTCTTTTGCTTTAATAAGAGGAGAAGAACAAATCTCTCTGTCATTTTGAGTGGCATTTCTTTTCTTGTCAGGCTAATCGACCTAACCTGTTGTTTTTTTTTCATCGAAAGGTCGACGCGTGGTCCTGGATCGACCCAACCAACCCCAATGCCAGGGCTGGCCTGAGCAACATCACAGAAGCTGAAATTCGCGCCTCCAAGAACTGGAACATAAATGGCGCCCTGGCCTCGGTGGCCCTGTCTCTGGTGACGGCGGTGGGGTGGTGGCACCGGCGAGAACTATGGAAGAAGTTCACAGAGGAGACGATGAAGCTGCCTGATGTAGCAGCAGAGTTGTCGTCCTCGAAGCTGGGGCCTAGCCATACCCGTCTTCGAAGGACCTCTTCGATTCCGTCTAATACTTCGGAACCCTTGGACATGCCTCTTCTGGACCCTTCCAGATCTCCTGGATGATGGTGAGGTGGGAGGGATGGGGTTGGAAGAGGTGGAGATACTTGTAGATATGCTTAGTTACCATACAGCCTAATGGTGAAAGTCTTGTATTGTGTCTGAATTCGTGCTTGACGGGCTACTGGTGTCTTTGTTTACCTGAGCGTCACTCCCTGGTGTTGTCATCGTTGAGTAGTCCGCTAACCAACATATTTGATCTCTCCCTTTTCTTTTAAGAATGTTTTTTTGTAAGAAGAAAAGAGAAGAAAAAAATCTGGCAAAAGAATCTTTGAACTCTTCTCAGCTTTATTCATTTTGTGCGAGGGCTAGTGAGTCACTGGCCCAGGGCCGTGCACTGGCCCCTCCAGCCAGCCAACAGCCAGATCTGTTGATAGCCTCAGATAGCTGGCCTCGTGGCGTTTCTCTTCCTTTCTCTTTTCTCTTCAGCGCTCAGCAATGCAATCTTTTTGCCCTCACACACATTTTCTCCGTACTTGTTTTGTAACACAGCAAGTGATGTGCAGCAGGTAGAATTATAAAGACAACATAAGGTCGAGGGGAACCGGGTTCCACGAATCCATGTAAGACGATTCGCTAGAGCACCTGCTCGGCTAAACCCCGGTGGAGAAATCGGGGCTCGAATATACACAAAAACCCCCCCAACGCAATATATTTACAGCTTACTACCAGCCGGTCGCAATTTGCAGTCTGAAAATAGAAATATAGGAAGAATAATAGAAGATGGAAAGAGAGAGAGACGAGGTCTTAGAAGTCAAGGCCCCTCATACATATTTTTTTTTTTTCGGGCTCACAGTTTACACTCCGAGTCTTGATTGCCTTGAAACGCTGTTGACCAATCATCCTCATCGACGGCTTCTGGCTCATCGAGCAGAATGCCACATTCGTAGAACATCGGATTGAGAAGTTCTGTCGCCAGCTCACTGTGATTTATGTGTAGGTACATAATCTGTTCTCAGATATGCGCTGCCAGATAGACTTTTGGGTTGAGAACAATATGTATAATCGGAATTTTCGATACTGCGCTTTGGACAAGGCTGTCTTGTGCTGCTTTTAGGTTCTTCAGGGTCGCGCGCCAAATGGGGTCCGCGCCATCAAGGCTCGTTCGGGCTAGGAACGTATATATCACGATACCGCAGTCTCGAGAAGTTTGGTAGGACTCAACATCCTCTTCTAGAGAATGATGTTTTACATCCATACATGAAGAGTAAAGCATGGTTCAGACTTAGTGTATCGGTAAAGGGTTAGAGGTCGAAACGGCCCGCCCGCCTTGGCGATGCGGTAGCCTGGCCTCCCAGAGCACACTCTGGCAGGGCATCATCAGGACTCAGCATGGTAATGTATCTTCTCATGTACAATTCAGGGCGACCGGAGAGAAGCGATATTATTAACAATTCTATCTTTACTGTGATCTCCTTGTAGAGTCTGGTAACTGAAGTTGGATCTCTCCAGAGCGCGATCAGGCGCTCCAAGATGCATGGGAAATGTTGTGAGCACAATGATGTTTGGTAAGCTAAGCTCTCATATTGTTGCAATAACTAGAGGATTAGATACTTCATGATGCTAGCAGCAGTCTCATTCCAATAGGCTTGTGAATACTTACTTTATGGTGATGTTTTGGACTTTGGACTTTGGATTGCGTAGATTCAAAAGTATGGTTCGATTTGAGGACTTGGAAATGGGAAAGCCTTGATGCACCTCTGCTGTGTCTTTTTGCAATCTCTTTTGTGCGTTTGCATCACTGCCTTCGACCATATTGAGATATAAGTCTTCATTGAGGTAAAGTTTCGTCAAATTATTGCTGTTATTGTTATGGGGACTGCTTTTTCTTTGTTTCCAAAGAGGGTTGGATTTAGAGGGTACGTACACAGAACAGAGTGAGAACCAGCATATTTAGTGCATGCATGCAGTCAGCGGGCTGTCAAGGAAAGAACCTACTTGCCCTGTAGTTGGATCCTCTGGAGGATTAAGGGCGTTCCAAATTTGATGTATGCGCTGTTGAGGTGAGAACATCCTCCACGATCCTGAAATCATGTGAAGTCCATCATGAGTCCATCAAGATATGGCCACAGGAAAAATCATAATAGAGTTGCCCTTGAAGTTTGTGTATGGGCATAGATTGTAGATCTTCAAAAGAACCCTCCAGCAGAGAGGAGAGAAAATGCAGGGTCGCAAGATTTATAGGGTGTCATGGGCTGCTGGACCCTCTAAAGAGACGTCATACTACAGCGCGTTGCAGTGGGCCCAGGCCTACCCCAACCTTCCCGGGCTGAACCCTGGAAGCCCCCACGCTACCACTTACTTGAGACCTTGATGTTATGAGGGAGGGGCTAAAGATAGTCTGGAGGGACGATCCTTGGCTTTACACGATAATAAACGCCGCGGTTGACGAGACCAGGGCCTCGAAAGTCAAATCTCCTCCCCGCCTTCAAACCTTCTCTCCATCCCACCTGCCCGTCGTCAACCACTCGTCGTCACCCTCATCTGGCGAGTTCACAACGTGGCTTCGATCAGTGCAAACGAGGACAGTCAGCCACCGCCAACAGCATGCCTGTACGTGCCAAGTTCCGTCCTCAACCCGGCGCGAACGACGCACCACGCACACCATCGCCAGGCGGGCGATTGGTCTTCTACCACGGGCTGCCAGATGTTCGCGACGATGATTCCTTCCGGGAGGTGATCAAGAAGCTGTCCATGTGAGCTCATACCTTGTTTCCCCCATCGTGTGTGAAGAGGTCGCGGGCGAGGGACGAACAGCCAACCGCTGACATGCACTTTCCAACCCCCCGCAAACAAAAAAAAGATACTTCAATGAGGTGGTGGTCCTGCCCGTCACCTTCGAACAACTGAGGACGACATCTGCAGGCGCGGGCCTCACAAAACTGGTCGAGCATCTGAGCAAGACGTGTTGCAATCCTGCCATCGTGAATGCTCTGCTGTAAGTTTCTGATCTTTACACAATGTTAATCTTGCCTTTTTTTTCTTCTTTTATGAAAAAAACAAAAACAAAAACACCCGCATGTTGTTGATCCAGCCGCGCGGGAGGGTCGACGGTACCTTGCGTGCTGTCTGACGTCTGACACACACACACACACACCATTTCTATTCTTGTCGACCATTCCCCCTGCATGAGGACACCACCTTTTCACTGGCTGCTCTCATGACCGGCTAGGTCAATTTTGAGAACTGGTCTGTCGGCTGTACAGACCTCAGTGAGATGAATCACCGATGACACCTTTGAGTGCGCCTTTGATCTTCCTGGAACAACGACATGAACTATGTACCACGTCTTCTGTGTCATACAACCTGCTGACCACTGCTGAACCAGCGCCCTCAAGTGGCACTATGGAGCCGCAACCGAGGAGAAGAGCGTCAATGAGGCCCGGGCCAACGCGGCAGAGATTGTGGCCTGGCGTTTCTTGACGCACCTGTCCGAGAGGGAAGTCGTGGACTACTGCCTCTATGAGATACCGGATTCGGAGCACCCCGACAATAGGGCAGGCAATGGCGATGAGGAGGACGGTCGCCTGACCGAGGAGGTCGACGAGAACACCGCCCTGCTTGCCCAGTCGCTGGCCGAGACGGTGACATCGGCCAAGAACGCCTTTCTCAATACTGGCAGCAACAAGCGGTATCAGCTGTTGAAGTCCATCTCCCGTCTGACCATGCACGGTGACGAGGACGAGGAGGAGGAGGAGGAAGACCCGACCAAGCCCTTTGTCACCCTCAACGCCCTAGAGATCGCGGCTGTCGCAAATGCCAAGCGTTTCCTGAGCCAACATGTCGTGCAGAAGATCATCACCGGCATATGGAATGGTGACATTGTGTTTTGGGATAGTAGGTGTTTACTCGCGAGTGAAGAATAATGACAAGAAGAACATCAAAAGCTGACTACCATGACCGCCAGGACTCGAGGTCAACTCAGTCAAGCGACCTCGATTCTACAACAAGACGACGGCAGACCCCTTCTCTCGGCTGCGAGTCCCCAAGTACCTGAAAAGCTTCGAGGTCCTTTTCTTCTTTCTCTTCCTCTTTCTGTACTATTCTGTACTCGTGGAGAGAAATCCAGCCAAGATCAGCTTCGCCGAAGTCCTCTTGTACATCTGGTTCGCTGCCTTCTTCTACGACGAACTGAGTGAATGGAGCGATGCGGGATCTATCTTTTACGCGACGGATGTAAGAATATCTCGTTTGTCAATACCCATGAATGCTGGATCCTTTGCTTACGCTGCTGCTACAGATATGGAATCTGTTCGATATAACCATGATATGTATTGGATTTGTTTTTGCGGTGATGCGTACGTTTACTTGAGCTCAAGGCTTTCTCTTGTGCGTGGTGGTCATCTAACCAGGAGTACAGGCATTATCGGTCTCTCAAAGCATGACGAGAACCTCATCGAGCAGTCTTTCGACATACTCTCGCTCGAGGCCCTATTCATGGTTCCCCGCGTCTGCTCCGTCCTGTCGCTGTCGCCTTACTGGGGCACACTCATTCCCTGTCTGAAGGAGATGGGCAAGGATTTCATCAAGTACGTTTCTTGCACTAGACTACCAGACACACGGGTCTAATCGTAGCATCTTTAGGTTTATGGTCCTCGTTGTTATTCTTTATATGGGATTCCTGACCACGTTCTCGCTCATCGGCCGCGAGGAATTTGTACGGTTTTTTGGTTTTTTTTCCTTCATCTTTACACATCTGCACATCAAGATGTATAGGCTATTATTATTGCTAACCCCACCACCACAGACCCTCAGAGAGATGGCAATGGACCTGACCAAGATTTTCTACGGCTCGAGCTACGTCGGCTTTGAGATTATGAATCGTATCGACCCAATCCTAGGGCCTCCTTTGATGTTCATCTTCGTGACACTGTCCAGCATTCTGCTCATGGGCAGTCTGACGGGTGAGTTGACCACATATTTCATTCCACTTGTACCTTCACCTACTGATTCTCGACAAGGTATGCTCTCCAACTCCTTCTCCCGTGTCATTAGCCACGCCCGCGAAGAGTACCTCTACGTCTATAGCGTCTACGTTCTCGAGGCCTCCACCTCCAACCGCCTCACCCACTTCTACCCTCCCTTCAACCTCCTGGCCCTCATCATCTTCCGTCCCTTCCGTATCTTCCTCCCGTCCGACCACAAGTTCCGCGCCGCCCGCATCCTCCTGCTCAAGGCGACCCACTTTCCCATCGTTGGTGCCATCATGCTTTACGAGACCATCCGCGGCAAGGTCATCGCCGACGAGTACGCCGGCTTCAAGGGCCCGCGCCTCGACACCGCCAATACCGCCGTCGGCACCATGTCCAGGAAGGCCTCCCGCGCCAAGATGAGGCCCGCGTCATCGTCCGACCAGAGACGTTCCGGCCGACCCTCGCGCATGAGCATGAGCGTGTTCGACCCGGTCCAGTTGCCCAGGGACTCGCCCACGCAGGGGCCTCCAAGCGCTGCCACGCCCGCCACGCCCACAACGGCCGCGACGGATGCACTCAACGATGACGTCGACGCCCCGACCCAGGTGGAGGTAAAGATCGCGGAGCTGAACGACAAGATCGACAGGCTGACGGAGCTCGTCCTGGCCATGCAGAGGGAGAGGGAGCAACTTCACAGGGACGGGATGACGCACGGGGATGGCGGCCTGCGGGGTGGATTTTGAGACGTTGATGACCGAGGATGGAATTGGAATGAGGATGTTTTAAATGCAGGAGCGTTTTATGACCGGGGAGGGAGCATCACTTTGTCATTTTCATAAAATTTTGATGACTTGCGAGAGCGAGATCGATGTCTTTTTTGGGGATTGGGATCTATGCGCCGGTTCGTTGATCTGCGTTATGTGGTTATTTCTTGTTACTAGCATTTGCGAGTGTGATAATTTTGCATCGGGATCTTGTATGGAATCGCGAGTACCTAAAACAATGAAGCATCTTCTATTTATATGCTCTCTTTTTCTCGTGCGTTTTCAGAGGTCGTGCAGTCGTTGCGCTTCAGGGGAGGGGGAATCGAGAGAGAATGTGTGAAACCAACTCGCTGGGTATCATCTGTATTTCTGCCATCGCTATAACTAAGCCATAAGAATACAATTTCCTACCTGGTCCCACCCATCCCCAACAACCTGTCCCGTAAATCGCTTCTTTAATTCCTTCAACAAAAGGTCCAATGACACGTACACTTCGTACCGTCCGTCCATTCATCCATCCATCCGTCTGTCCATCCGTCCAACTCATCATCTCATCCCTCTTCCATATCATGAAAATGGTATCATCAACCTCAATCCCCGTCCCCTAGGTGCGATCCGATTCGTCCGAATGACATGCAAGCCCTTTCTCTCTTTTTTTGGTGGTCTTGTGTTACACGTTCTTGTGTACTGCTTTTCGGTTTCGTGTATGTGTTATGTGATAAGAGTCGGACGATGAAAAGACGATGATATACTGTAAAGGGAATAAAGAAAAGAAACGAGATAAATCTTCAGACAAGCCAATGAACGCCAAGAAATCTCAAGCAACAGAAAAAGAACGAAAAGGAAGAAGAACAGAGGAGGCCATATCGGATCGTCCTTGAAGTGTCGCCCACACGGTATTGCCTGCCCCATTCAGTAAGCAACCCTCGTTTTGAACGAGGATGGAACTGCTGAGAATAGCACTGCCGTCCGTGAGAAACAACACAAGGACCATACGACATGGTCGAAATCAGGGGTCGAACAAGGAAATAGAGCCGACCAAATGCGTGACACAAACTGTCTGGGTATTTTTTTCGCGCCAGGGTATATCCAGCCGGGGTATTTGGACGTCGAATTTCTAAGAGCCAAGAATCTAACGATAAGGTCCGATGGGACCGGGGTATCCAGAATTCGTAGAGTGAGAGGTGGAAGGACGGCCGCTGTCTGCTGACTGTCGGGTATTGTGGCGGGGGGTAACATCGCCGGGTTGAGGGACGCCGTTGGGCGTCAGCTTATCACCGGAGCTGTTTCCAAAGGGGCGACTCGGCCAGGGGCTGTCGTCGTCGGGTAGGTTTACACCGCTGTCGTTCCACGGGTTTCGGTCGGCGTGGAAGCTGCGGGTCGATTCAATCGAGATAAGCGAAGACTTGGACACGTTGCTCGAGCCTTTGAACAAAGAGACGGTGGCCGAGTGGGAGCTGTTCTTGCGGCGGTCCAGGAAAGAAGAAATCGAAGACATGCTTCCGGGCTTGCGGAGCTTGTCAAAAATGGTGCTGCGCTCGCGAGCAACCTCGTCACCAAAGGCGGACTTGGTAGGGGAGTCGGTCGCGACTGTCGTGGGTGCATGCTGCAGCAGCTTGGAATCGAAGTACGGGAGTGACTCCTCGAATGTATCGGACTTGGGCCGGGGGATAGATCCCTTGATGATAGTCTCTTCGACACCTGCAGTGGCGAAGTGGCCATGCAGGAGCTCCATGGCATCGCGCAGACCACCAGCGTTGTTGCGGGTGAAGGTCCACAAGAGCGTGACAGTGGGTTGGCCGTCATCCGTCAGCTCCGAGGTATTCTCGTGGACGGTGAGGTCGACTTCGTGCTGGGCCTTGAGCTTCGGCACAACCTCGTTGACAAAATCCGGAGACTCGAGGTATTTGATCAGCACGGGAGTGCGAGCCAGCACCACCTCGTGGTTGTCAGGTACCATTCCCTACTGAGGTCAGCATGCATTCGGGCGGGCAAGGCAGAAAAGAGAGTTGAACTCACGAGAAACTCATCAACACAAAGAGGCACCTGCCATTGAGGCCCAGTGAAGGTAACCTCATCGCTCGCCTGTTCCGTGCCAGGGAAGATGATCTTGCAGTTCCACTTCTTCTCCATGATCGCAATGTCGGACAGGCGGGCCAACAGCTGACGGTGGTAGAGACGGTCCACAGGCACAACCTGAGAGGTGAATTCGGAATCCTACGGAAGTGTCAGTGGTTTTTCCTTCATTGTTCTCTTTCTTCTTGGGACGAGATGCGGATGACTTACAACGCGGTCCACCATTTCCAGGATCTCCGACTTGACGAGTTCGAGGCTCTGCGCATTGCGAGCCGGTGTCCGACAGATCACATTGTCCAGCGTGTTGTCATCATCCTCTCGGATCATGCCGTCTGAACAAGTCAGTGAGGTGAACCATATCTGGGCTGAATGCCGAGGTCCAAAGGGAGACTTACTGCGCTCCTGGGCATTGGAGAACTTGACGAAGACGGAGTGCTTCTTCATGATGCGCTGGATGTGCTGGCCGCCGATACCAATGATCCGCTTGTGGTACTGATCAGGCACGTGAAACGAGATAGAAGCGGGCATCTCCTGCTCCACCAGGCCCAGACCCTGCTTCATAGAGTCGTAGGACGAGGCGTTGACGTCAATGTTGAAGTTGTACTCTCCGAAGTTCTCGAACATGATCTGGACGTTGCCTACCCGGAAGGTCAGTATCACTCCCACCGAGGTAAGGGTAATGTGGGGGGTTTAACGTACTTTGTCCCATGATCTTGTTGATCTTGCCGTTCTTCTTGCCGCTCACAAACTCCTTGTGCTCATTGGCAAGTTCGATCTTCACCCTGATGGTGTATTGCGACTGTGTCACAAATCTGATCTGGGATATCACATGCAGCGCGGCCTTGACCGCATCGTCAGAACCGTCGATGGTAAACGACAGTCGCTGGAAAGAGATCTCGGCGTCGGAGTTGGCACAAATGTCGCCAAGCATGATCCTGATGTCGTTGTCCTCCGGCAGCCTCCGGCCGTCCGGCTGAGCCGCCCAAAAACCGCTATAGAACTGTCCAGCCTAAAATCATTGTCAGTCCAGCACCGACCTTCACAATGAAGACTGATAGCCTCCTCTGTTCAACTTACGAGGGTCATAAGCTCCCGAACTGTACGCTCGATATGCAGGTTCTCGGTAGCCTGTACCCTGACCGTGTTCTGCCTCGACCCCAAGGGGGGGAACTGGATATAGGACCCATTGGTCTCGACGATCTTGCGGACCTTGTCGAGACGCGTCAGGAGGATGGTATCGATTTTTTCGGCCGGCATCGGGACATCCTTGACGTAGAGCCGGACGCGGCTCAGCAGATCCCGCAGCTTGAGCTTGGCAAGCTCAATCTGTCGGGGCTTGTCGCCGGTGATGAGGAGCTCGTTCGGGTTCCGGGGTTGGGCGTTGCCAGGGCAGTACCGGAAGTAAGTCGAGAAGGGCGGTGGGAAGTAGATAGCAGTGCCGGTAGCGGACTCGATCAGCTTGATGTTCTTTCGGTTTCGGCCGCAAATGAGCTGCTGGATCGAGAGATCCATGTGCATAGCATCGATAACCCGACCAAGCTGTAGTAGCAACATAAAATTAGCCGCCGGTGGCCCCCTCGGAATCAGGTAGGCAGGCAGGTCAGGGAGCATTCTCGTACCCATTGATCGATGGAGACCAGAACGCGAGTCTTTGCGTGTTCTGTGGACAATATGTCACCGTAGATGGCCACTCTCCATCGCTGGTCCCTCCGGATCTCCACATCACCATTCACGCCGTCAACAAGCGGTGTCAGCTTAGGTCCGAGCAAGAAAATGTCGACGCCACAGAAGGCCGATATGCTGTCGAGGGTCTCGATCACAGTCTGCTTAAGAGAGCCGGCGTTGAGGTCGGCGACCATGTCTCCGTCGATATCCACAGTGGTACAGCGCTGGAACAGGTAGGGAATGGGTCAGTGGATCTACATCTCGAGAGCAGGTGGCATTGCAACAACGATAACAACAACAAGGCGGGGAGTTCGGCTCTACACACCAGAGATAGAGGGGTCTCGTTCATGAGCTTCTCCCTAGTTTGCCAGACCAGGTCCAGAGAGCCCGAGAGGCAGACGGTAGTGACCTGGCCCTTGATATGCTTGGGCGTGGTGGAGATGACGTGGGCCTCGATGGGCAGCTGGCTGTTGGTGATGTCCTTACACATCTTCCTCAGTCGGCCTAGATTGTCGGCGTGGACGGGCAGCTCGTGGACGGGAACGTCATCAGGGGCCTCAGCAGGGTGCGTCCACCTGAGGACAGCGTCGGTGGTGGCATGGAGGATGTCCTCGGTGTCGGGGCCGGCGAGCTCGGAGGCGAAGGGAACATTGAAGGCATGATGGATGACCGAGTCACCAATCTGTGGAGGCGTTATGGGAGAGGCGCCCTGAGGCGTGATCTTATGGTGTGGATGGAGACCCTGCATCGACATACCCACGCTGGGCCTCGAGGACATGCCAAAGGCGGGACTCATCCGCTCTGACCAGTTTCTCATGTTTGCTATCTTATTCATGGCGTGCATGATGTGCTCCTCATGGACACCGACGATGAGGCCACGATAGAGTAGCCTGGTCGAGAGAGAGAGAGAGAGAGAGAGAGGTTATTCAACCAAGGGGAAGGGTTAAGCAGGAGGAGGCCAAGGAGGGGGTGGAAGGGTGGTGATTCGGATAGGACGGGCGGGCGGAGTGTGCGGAGGTGACGAGGAACCGTGTCAAGGCCAAGGTCCAGGTCAGAGAGGAGGGGAGGGGGAGGAGGAAGGAGGGAGAGATGGGGGGGAAAAGGTCGCCTGCGCGCACACTAGAAGAGAAAAGGAGCAGTAGGGAAAGAGGAAAGGAAAGAAGAGAAAAACAACAACTGTCGTGTGCACTATTCTGAGCCGTAAGGGGTGGAGGAGGTGGTGGTCGAGTTCTCGTCGGATTGAAGGGGGGGGGAGGTGTGGAGGTGGTAAGGTTAGAGAACACCGAGGAAGGAGGTGCGATTGCGTGAGGCGATCGAAAGCAAAGAGTTGGTTGGCAGTGGGGAGATGGTAGTGCGTGTGTGGTGTGTGTGCAGTGTGCACTGCCCGAACGGTGGATTGGCCTTGGGATTGGGGCCTATGGAGGGCGAGGCACGGGTGGAGGGCAAGGGGCGGTGCGGATCACAAACGCCAGTTCAGTACCCTGTTACCAAAAAGTATAGTACTTGGCTGCTGCCATGGGAGACACATGGATACTACAGTATGCTGCAAGACCCTTGTAAGCGCTGCATCTAAGGCCTGCCCTGGGCGTGTGGTGTACCGTACTACAGAGGGGCTGCAGTACGATGGTAGCGCTCACCTCTGCCGTTACAGGGCCTCCAAGACCTGGAGGGAGCTGGCCACGCCAATCCACAAGAGGCGTTGGATCCACAAGGGCCCCCAATAGCGCCCCACAGCGTGATAGAGTCAACCAGTCGGGAACAATGGGATCTGATCACACAGGCCAGAGAGAGGCCAGACCACTAGTGACCAGTTCTCTTTTCCTCTTGCAGATCCGACCTCAAGTGCCGCAAGCATCCATCCATCATCCATTCTCGCTACGTCAATCCTGACTGGCGATCGGACCCTAGGAAGAATAACAAATAATTGGACCAACTATACAATAACATGTTATTTGTTGTTGTTGGACGTGCAGGCGAAACCTAGTTTGCTTCAAGCCTGATGGGTGGACCTTTTAGTCTTGTGGTGGACACCCTTCAACGGCCGGCCGACCTGTGGTTGGTAAGGATTGTCTGATTCAACAGGATGCAGAGATGAAGTGTCTTATCTCTTTTTAAATCTCCGGCACCGACCGCACCCCCCAAGGTTTGTATGGATCAGATGGATCAAAAGGCTGAGCGTTCTGACGCTGACAACAAACCGGGGGTGTTCAGTTCGGGGAGTGCGTGCCCGTCAACTTGTTTCATTGAATGATACAGAAAAGGAGGGGCACATGACAGCGATGCCTCTACAGAGCGGACTCGACTCCAGGATGTGTCTGTCAATGCGACTGGACCCCAGTTCCAGATCGCATGTCATCCACGGGCAACCACGTCGCAATGCTCTCTTTTTGCCTGCCTTTCCTGATCCTCCGATCTCTTGATTGAAAATCTCGCAAGTGTTGTCATTGTTGAAGATCACTTTTCCTTCCGCTTCACCGAATGCCTGTCTCAGACACGCACGACTCGATAGCCAGACGGAAAAGACAGCACGGAACAGGGGGGCCAGGCCAGCACCTCTCAAGTACGATGAGATCTCGCATCTGTTCATTCTCTAATGACCCCCAGTTGGCGTCGCCCTCTGTCCGAAACTGGTTTGACGCGTGCTAGGGCATGACCTGTCTTGCCCTAGCCGTCGTCCGCAGCGGAGCCCCCGCCCCCTCACCCCCTGCCCCAGGAGCCAAGGTTGAGCTTGGGGTCCTCCTCCAGTGAGTAAGTAGGTATATATATATATATATATATATATACCCGGTATCTGTGCCTACCACAGGAATAAGGAGATGGAGGGTTCCATTCAGGGGAAGATGATGATGATGAGGTGAGGTGCTATACAACGTGTTCAGTTCTGCGCCTTTGAACCAGTCGAAAAGGGTGATGGATGGTGGAAGACCTTGTGGAGGGCTTTGTGGCCGGCCCACCGTCGCGCCAGCCGAGCAAGCGAACCGGGCAAGCAGGTAGATGCAAATAAGGTTCCCCTGGCCTCCCTATTCGAGCTCCAGCAGTCTTGCCATATGGTGTGTCCACCATATATGCTATTAGGTAATTACTCAGGAAGCTGCCTTAAGAGGTGGATGGAGCTGCAAGCACATCCTGTAATGAGAACCTATATCATGTTCTTCCAGCTTTATATTGTGTTATACGGAGCGAGTACAGCTAATCAGATCAAAGGCCAACCTGGTTCCGATCTAATATACTGCCTTTAGTAGTAAGTCGAGGCTGTCTAGCAGGAGCTCAGGTGGTACTGGCAGTAGCTACATGCTCTCTCCCTGCAGCGCACAATTCAACCCGTGTGTACTTTTTTTCAGTTGCTGCTAACTTTCAGCTCATCATATGGGGAGGCTTTTGACCAAGTTCATGCTGAGAGAGGAGGAAAAGAGAAGAGAGTCCAGGAGCCAAGCAGCAAGCCATTGTGCAAGAGTAAGCTGTCACTCACTGATCCCAGTGCTGGGGCTTGTGAACTAGACATGGCTGATGAGATCTGTCTATGTTATGGTTCTTCAACAAAAACCACAACTGTTCACTGCTTAGGTGGACGTATTCGCAGCGGACCCGAGTTCGCTGTCAGCTGTTCAGGTCAAACCCTCAGAGCAGCATTGATCTTTGAACAAAGGTAAGATCAGGAGGAGAAGGTGCTTTCTGGGTCAGTGTGAGCTTTAAAGACTGACGGTCTAGCTAAACGACATGGATGCGCACACTGAGGAAGATGATTCACCACTAGATTACTGATGTTTCCTCATTCAAAGACCTATTTTCAAAGCCCAGGGCCTCGGGAGGGCGACTTGTGACTCAGTTATTGGCGCAGCTGCTCTAAGAGGTCTAGTGCTTACAGCAAGAAACACAATGCAGCATCCTTGTGCTTAGAGCATGGCGAAGGGCGATGTGAGATAGAAAGAGCATCAAGGAAAGAGAAGGACTACAGATATAAAAAGGGCTTTAGGGTTAGGCTTCAGAAGCATTGTTCCCGACAACACAGCATATGATGGTAGCATAATGATTGAATAAGTATTCTGCTAAAACGATGAACTAGAGTCTATGAGAAAAGAAAGACATAATCGTCATTTTATGTTCGCAGTCAATTATTGGTAATCCAAAAAGAAAGAGAAGGGGAAAGGGAAGACAAGGAGGGTTAAGATCACTGTCCGTACGCCACAAATTGGCTGTGGCTGGACTAGATTGAATAATGGGGCGAGATTCCCGACGCGCCTGCCAGCTAAACGACGCGTCAAGCTCTCCCGACTCCCAGTCTCGCAACATGCCACGACGTCACACCAAGACGTCCCCTTTGGCTGTCGTTTATGCTGCCAATGCTGCCATTCCGTACATCAGCGTTCTAGCTTTGTCTCACCACTCCAACACACACAAGACTGTCGCCCTCGAGCAATGGCACCAAATGCCACTCCGGGCAGCAGAAAGCGCGGCCGCCCCCGCAAAGATGAGGTCGACCGGAATCCGTCCTCCAAGAGGGTCCGACGAGAGTCGCCTGCTGCGACCGAACACACGACTCCTAGCTCCTTGAAGTCTCTCAAACCCAACGCACTTGGCTTCACCAACCGCGCCGCAGCACACTCAGGAAGAGGAACAACTAAAAAGTCCCCAGCCCCTACGAAACAATCTGGTCTCGATATCGATGGCATATACGATTTTCAGGGCTCCGACGGGGAGCAAAGCCCCGTGAAGACTCCGTCTAGGAGAACACGCGGAGGGGAGCGCTCGACGAATACTAAGTCTCCCACGGATCCGAAGTCTGGGTTGAAGTCAATTGAAAAGAAGGCCATAAGGAGGAAGGCAGATCCTTCTGCTCCACAGGGCTCTGCATCAGGGGCCAGAGGCGCTCCGCAAACGACGTCCAGGCTGAGATACGGCCATGAGGACGAAGTTGCTGGGAGCACAGTCTCAGAGACTGAGCGTGGGGAAATTGAGAGTTCGGGCACTGAAGACGTGCACACGCCAGTAGCTACGGAATCAGACAAAGGGCTATCACTCGCCTTGATCAACAGCGTTGTACCCAAGGTCAAAGGCATCCTCACCCCTAGCAGGAGGCTTAGCCAGCGAACTGCCAAGACTGTTGCTTTCGACGAGCATGCGACCGACAACCCTACCAATGAAATCTACTTCGCTGATCTGCCGAACAAACCTGCAAAATCTAAACCACCATCGCAGACGCGACCATCTGGAAAGGAGAACAAGCCGCTCGGGAATGCAGACAAGCCCGAAGTTGAAGATGGAGAGGAGGAGGAGGAGGAAGAAGAAGACGAAGAAGAAGGTGATGAAGATGATGAGGTTTGCATTATCTGCTCTAAGCCCGACTCAGAGCCGCCCAACGAGATATTATTTTGCGACAGCTGCGATATGGCTGTGCATCAAATGTGTTATGGTGTGGTCAAGATCCCAGACGGTGATTGGTTGTGCAAAGACTGTTCTCAAGACGCATCAATTGGCGTCATTGCATCAGACAAGGAGGCCATATCGATCATGGCCGTTGAGAACGTGCCTGACATCACCAACCTTGAGCAACATTTACGATCATTGCAACGGGTCTTACTAGATCGATGTACCGGTAGGCGCCGGATTAAACTGCTTGGACAGGACGATGCCTACGACAAAACGTTCCAGTTGGTAGAGCAGACCATCCTGGCCGGCGAGGGAAACTCCATGCTCGTCATTGGTGCCAGAGGGTGTGGAAAGACGACTATGGTGGACTCGGTTCTCTCTGACCTCAGTCTGGAGCACAAGAATGAGTTTCATGTTATCCGTCTGAACGGTTTCATACACACCGACGACAAATTGGCGCTGAAAGATATCTGGCGGCAGCTAGGCAAAGAGATGGACGTCGATGATGACCTGATCGGCAAGGCCAACAACTACGCTGACACGCTGGCATCGCTGCTCTCGCTCTTATCCCACCCGTCGGAGATCGCAGAGGCCCAAGAAGGTGTCACGTCCACATCGGTGGTTTTCGTCATCGACGAGTTTGACTTGTTTGCGACTCATGCAAGGCAGACGCTTCTGTACAACCTTTTCGACATTGCGCAAGCACGAAAGGCGCCCATCGCAGTCTTGGGTCTGACCAACAAAATTGATGTGGTGGAGGGACTCGAAAAGCGAGTGAAGAGCCGATTTAGTCACCGCTATGTCTACATGTCTCTGCCCAAGACACTGGCTGCATATTGGAGCGTGTGCAGGCAGGGACTTGTGGTCGATGACGAGGACGCAAAGTCGGAGGGTCTCGATACGTCGGTCAAGGGGTTTGCCAAGTTCCATGACTACTGGACCAAGAAGACCGATGCGCTCTTTGAAGAACAGGCATTCAAGGACCACATCGAGTATCACTACTGCAGCAACAAATCCGTACCAGCGTTCCTGGGAAGCTGTGTGCTCCCCTTAGCAGGCCTCTCCCCCACAAACCTGACCCTGCGATTCAGTCCGACCCTCACCAGCGACCCGCCCGACTCGAAGCTTCACCTACTTGGGTCCTTATCAGATCTGGACCTAGCGCTTCTCATCTCCGCAGCCCGTCTTGATATCGTGGCTCATACGGACACTGTGAACTTCGCCATGGCCTACGACGAGTATACAACACTGATCGGACGGCAGCGCGTGCAGTCGGCCGCAGCGGGAATGCTGGCCCTGGGTGGAGGTGTACGGGTCTGGGGCCGAGGCGTCGCTGAGATGGCGTGGGAGCGGCTTGTCTCTTTAGGGCTCCTTCTTCCCACCGGGATGGGCGGCAGACATGGCGGCATCGAGGGAAGGATGTGGAAGGTTGATGTGATTCTGGAAGAGATCCCGGCCGCGGTAAAACTGAACGCAGTCCTTGCCAGGTGGTGCAGGGAGATATGACCGATCTGCTGCATTCGACTTTGTCAAGTCGGATATGAGTCTCTGCATACTCTAGGCTATTCGGACTTAGGAATGGAATCTCGTGCGTATCTATAAACTCTTCCGGTCGGTCATGTGTGGCTGTCTCGTCTAACGAGATGGGAACCGTATGTTCCATAGTGAAGCTCAACTTGCCAAGTGATAGAGATGATACTCTCTGCATGCTATTTCTCTTTCAACGCAAATGGGCAGGAAGCTTTCTATTGCTCGCGTAGGCGAGTTGTGATCCTGTCACATGGAGTGTTCTTGCGATCAAGCGGTCCTGCTCCGTCATTTCTTTTTTCTCATTTTATTCACTTGGTTTTACTGTTTTGTAAATTGATATAAAAAACCCCCCAGGCTGACGGTGCATTTCCCTCCCGATACATCCACCAATGCGAGACTCGACTTCTACTGGATCGCTATGCAAGAACCTGCAGTGTGTGCGGAGAGGTCACATCGCTTGTAGTCAAGACTCTCCCGCTCGAGTAGTATTCTTCTCTTCCCCCCATTTCTTCGAGATAAGTATCCGCACATCTGGTAAGAGAAGAAAAAGTGCTGCGTCGTTACTTCGTTATCTATAGGCGACACCGCCCTATGCTTCTCTTCCAATCCCTTGTTCGTCTATTTTTCTTCTACTTCTATTCTCCAGCAGCAGCAGCAGCAGCAGCAGCATTGGTCCATCCCGTCATAGAGATATCTTTGGATCTCGTCCCATAGCTAATTGTCCTCATTCAGCATGGCTGATAACAATACCAAATCCGAGATGGGTTCTGTCTCTGTCATGGAGCAAAACTTTTCCTCTCCGGAGAAGTCGACTTCCGAAAAGTCGACTTACCAGGCATCTCTGATCGAGAGACAGACCCGGACGAGGAGACTTTTTTCCATGCCACAACTATTCGCTTTCTCCATCGTTTATTTGGGAACATGGTATTCGGTTGCTATGTATGAAGAAGACTACGATCTCCCCCCCCCCCCCAAAAAAAAGCGGGCACTTGTTATACAAATCAAATACATGACTAATTTCTATAAACTTCATTATTGTTGTTGAAGGAATATGTACTTTGCTCTCGCCAACGGTGGTCCTGCAGCCTGGTTCTGGAGTTATCTCATTGTCGCCGCGTCAGTCCAGCCTTTCTGGCCCATCCCAACATCCCTTTTCTGCATGCAACACCTGCTTCTGACTGAACGACCAACTGCTGACCTGGAACAATGCGGGCAGCGGTGTGCTCTGCCAAGCAGCAACGTTCGGCGAGCTGGCATCGATCCAGCCCATCGCCGGCGCACAGTACTACTGGACATGGAACTTTGCCCCTGCAGGGTCTCGGAGGTTCCTCACCTGGATCCAGGGCTGGGCCACCTGGACGGGCTACGTGTCGCTCTTGGCGAGCTGCATCAATGGCCTCACGGTGATGCTCGAGGGCATGATTGAGCTGAACCACAGCTACACGGCCGAGGGTTGGCACACGGCCGTCATCAACTTCGCCATCATCCTACTATGCGCCGGCGTCAACGTGTTCGCCTTCTGGCTGGTGCCCTGGTTCGAACTCCTGTCGGGCTTCCTTAACGTTTGCCTGCTCGTCATCTTTTTGGTCGTGATGTGGACCTTGTCACCGCGGAACAGCTCGGATATCTTCTTCTCCAGCGAGATTGCCTCAGGATGGGAGAACCGCTATGTCTCTGCCAACATTGGTTCTTTGTCCAATATCTTTGTGTTTCTCTGTGGGTTTTCATTTAGGGTGGTTTTATTTTGTCCCTTCTGCTCCTGCCCCTACAGAGGGAGGGGGAAAAACAGGCCTGAGAGTAAATTTCTCGAGATGCAGGCAGCTTATTGACATTTGGTAATGGCCTACAGGTTTTGAAGGAATAATCCACCTCGGCGAAGAGACCCGTAATGCAAAGACAGTCGTCCCCAAGGCCATGTTCTGGTCTATGATTTTTAATGTGTCACTGGGTCTCATCATGATCATCACCTTTGGGGTATGCATGCTCTTCTCCCCTCCCCGTTCAGCAACTGGATAATCTCAAGAGTGCTTCGTCCAGATATGCATGCCCTCTCTCGACACCCTCCTCAACTCGTCCAGCCCTCTGGTCACAATCCTCCTCAACACGACAGGGTCGAACGCGGCTACTACTGCGATGGTGGCTGGGCTGGCAGTGCTGTCCATCTCGGGGAACATGGCGCTTGTGTCTTCTGTGTCTCGACTGACCTGGGCGTGGGCTCGAGACGGAGGTGCGCGTTATTCGCAGTCCCTCTTCTTTCCTTCTTGATCGGATTGTTGACTACCAGGGATCTTATCTCGCGCAGGCCTCCCGCAGTATTTTGCCCACGTCGACGCAAGGTACCGGGTCCCCGTACGCGCCATCGCCATGGTGTGCATCCTCGTAGCCCTCCTCTCCCTCCTCAACATCGGCAGCGGGACGTACATCGCCTTTAGCGCCATCACCTCGCTCTCGTCCATGTCCATCTACCTGAGCTACACCATCGTGCTGGCGTGCATGTTGTACGCGCGCCTGACGGGCAAAGTCGAGTTTGGCCGCTGGCACCTGGGCAGGCGGCTGGGCACTGTCGTCAACGTCGCAGGCCTGGTGTACACGGTGTATGCCATCCTCTGGCTACCGTTCCCCAATTATCTGCCCGTCACGGCGGCGAATATGAACTATAGCGGGCCTGTGCTGGGGGCGGTGTTGATCTTTGCGGTTTCGCTCTGGGTTGTGCGGGCGCGGACGCAGTGGGAGGGACCCAATAGGGCAATTGTGGACTTTGTTCTCAAGAATGAGTCTTGAAAGGGTATATCTAGGGCAGGTCCCACCGCCTTTGCTATCAGATGTAGGAAGGAAGGAAAGGGTAGAGTGGGGTATTAAATAATGTAAGTAAATACATAGGGAAAGAACAGAGGCGTACACATGAGATGATAGAATATGTCGCCACATAGATACGAGAATACGTGGAAATGAAGAGAATTATTCGCTCCTGAAGCTGCTCTATAGGTAACATCTATATAATCATAAATAATAGAATTTCTACGAGATCATTCTCACACATTTATTACACATTTTCAATCTGTTTATAATACCTCTTCAACTCTCCGTCTACATCAGCTCACTTACTCTCGGCCTCGGTCGGGTTCATCAAATGTAAGACACGTTACTTGCGAGGGGAGGAGGGATAGAAGGGTCCCTCATTGACTCGATAATGGCCACACGAGATGTTGGTTGACAACCTTCCATGACCGAGAACTTCCCTGGGGCAACTGCTCTTGAAGGACACTTACTTGGCGGCGACTACCGACACTCACTTTGTTATACCAATTCATGGTTTGTTTCTGCTATAGTCGAACTGTTTGTGCAGGTCTCTCTCCAGCAGACCACCCACAGTGGCCGTGTCCAAGGCCTGAGCGTTGCCACAGCGCAGTACCCATGAAAGAGGAGCGAGCCAGTGGCTTTGTAATATACTGTTACTGTCCTGCATCAGCGCATCAGCCCACAGCACGGGGCGGAATTCGGCACGCTGGGCCCGCCTCTCGCTCGCAGATGAACAAGGGGAAGCTGGAGCGCATGCAGTCATTATGATGAAGCAAAACCATGAGAAAGGAGATGGGGGAGGGTCCAGTCCGTCAGTCAGCCTCCTGATGGGCGTCCCCATATGTCGGGTCCCCACGGAAACAGACCCACCCGAGAGAACCTTGGGCCTCGAAGGATTCAGCCTGGCCTTTTGTTCCTCAGAGGTTCAGCTACTGCTGGGTGGTACCATAGCGTGCTACAGTAACGATCCTCGTCTCTGCGTGCAAATCTCTCTCCAATTGCGGCTGATGGATCCTTTTGGCCAGCACAGCAGCGCATCCACCTTTCAGCTCTATCTTTAGGGCTTGCGTGGGACCGTTTTCCCCCCCCAGTTGCACAGCCCCTGCTTCTTCGGGTGTCCTTCTGATTGGTCTGGTCGCCGATTCTCACGCATTTTGGACCCTTGAGGCCTGCACCGCAAAGCCTGGTAGACGCACGGTGCAGCAGTAAAAAAGAAAGTACAGTAGTACTACCGGATTGCAGCATGACAGCATGTCTCGTCGCCAGTACTACTATATCCTGTAGGAGACCAGCATTTTTGATTATGATTATTTTATTTCATTGGGTTTTGCGGCCGCTCGGGTGTCTCTGGATAAAACGGAATGCTGATTTGCCGCTTCGTAATTGGGACCTGCGTTGAGACCTACGGCATCAGCACCACACGGTCGGTACGGCCTTGTTAGATGTCTTGTCTTGTCTCGTCTATTTCTATTACAAGTCAGATCAGACCGCCTCGCGAGATCTCCAGCGAGAGGAAAGCAACAATGTCTTCACACAGTGAGAAGGAAGGGGGGAAAGAAAAAAGAAAGAGTGATCGACGTTGGTCTTTTGTTCTTTCCCACAGACTAGTGGCCCATTCTTCTTGGCAGGAATGATTGACCTGGTCTTTGGTGCTTAGTTTGCTTTTTGATGTTGGCTGCCTAGTTTCTCGTTTATTTGCCTGGATGTGGATCTACTGTGCTACAGTCGGGTTAGTTCGTAGTGCCTGTGGTCTTGTTTGCTCTCTACAGTAATGTTTCTCTCTGCTGCTGCGCCACTTGGAGCCCCGTCAACCGCCGTCCGCAGCCAGGATCGCCTGACATGGCAAGAGAAATAATCCCTTCATAGGCACACACACACACACACACAGAGAGAGAGAGAGAGTAATAAAGCGAGGCTGTAACACCAGCTTAGTGGCCCTTTCATCCATATTACTTATTATTCCTCTTGTCCGCCATCTCGAGTTTTGGAACTGGGAATGACTTTCTCTTCTCGCGTTATTTCTTTCCTTCCTCAATCATCATCTTCCAAATGTGCCACATTAAAACAGCGCGCGCAGGGAAAAGTAAACAATAACTGAATAAAAAGAAAAAGAAGAAGGAAACGAAGAAGAAGCAAGCATGTCTAAAAGAACAGTCTTTACAACCATCAGCCCGTTACCGGCGGGCGTCTCTCGCGAGGTGGTCATCGACTTTTTACACAACCACACCGAGATGATCGACCTCAACCCGCTCGTGATAGAGCGCCACCCCATCGAGCCCCCCGAGGGCGCCGACCTAGACGAGAAGACGTGCGTCTGGTATTCCCTCACAGACAAGATCGACTACCTGCCCGGAGGCAAGGTCTCAGGCGACGTGAGCTACACCTGCGCCTTCCACGACCTCCCCACCGGCATCCAGACGCACTGCCGAGCTCCCCTGGGCGTCGACATCCGCAACAGGTGGACCCTCAACGGCACCCTGCCCGGTGAGCCCCCCGAGCGGCCCGAGCTGGGCCTCGGCGCCCCGGCAAGCGGGCTGTATCTTCGTGAGGACTGCGACCTGCGGTGCAACATCCTTATGACAGGCTTCGTCAAGAAGAACCTGAAGAAGTCCCACGCCGCACTGGTCGACAGGCTGGTTGAGAAGGCCCGCGCCGTGTCCGTGGCACCAGCAGCAGCAGCAGCAGCAGCAGCAGCAGCAGCAACAACACCATCATTATCATCATCATCATCATCACCATCACCGCAGGAGGAGGACGGAACCAGGTCGGTCTCGCCGGCCTTTGTGCTGCCGCTATCACCGCCTCTCTCGCCGCCGCGACAGCACAGCCCGTCGCAGATTGTCACCACGACTTCCTCCACTCGTCAACATTCCCTTCCACGGAAGCCCGTCCAGACCCCATCGCCGCCGCCCCAGGCCATCAGCTCACCGCCGTCGTCGCCCTTTTTCTTGGAGGACCAGAGGAGCAGCTCGCCTCCTCCTCCTTCCCCGCCGACAATGTATGACCAGCAACCACCGCCACTCCCACACAGACTGGACAGCGTGCAGGCCCAGGTCCACGCGCAGCTGTACGCCTCGTGTCCTTCAGCCCTCCGCGTGCCCATCCACGCCCCACAGTTTCCAGCCGCCCGCCAGAGAGCGGCGTCAACCTCAACGACGACAACAACGACGACGATGACAACAACAACAACAACACCACCACCTCCTCCTCCTCCTTCCTACTCCCCTCCAGAACCACCAGCAGCTCGCCCGCTTCATCACCACCACAACCACCTCCACGACCCCTTGAGCGTTCCCTCGGCCTTGCGCATCCGCGGCTCCTCGGTCGGGTCGGCAGGCAGTCACTACCCCGGGAAAAGCCTCCCCTCCTCGCTCTCAACCAGCAGCGAGGCGCAGCACCCAGATTATCCACACCTGAGCCCGTACTGCTCCACGGACGGAAGCAGCTCGCCTGACGAGCCTGCCCCACGGACGCCACCGCTACCGCCGGCAGCGGCAGCAGCAGCAGCGCCAGTCGTGGCTGGGTTGGGTGTCATGAGCAATGCTGCTGAGTGGAGAAAGGAGGAGGAGGAGGGGAAGGAGAATGATTTTGACTGTCCTGCGGTGTTGAGGCCTGGTAGTGGTGGTGTGAGGAGCGACAGCACAGGGTTCAGTGGGCGTCTGGATGGACCGTTTGTTGCCGAGTTTGATTTTTGAGAGAAGCAAGCATGACGCGGCGTTTGTTTGTTTCTCTTCCTCTTCCTCTTTCCCTTCTCCTTTTGTCCTTTTAGCGTTTCAGTCTGGATACCCCACCAATCGTTGAACTGGTTATTTGTTTACCCTTCTTTCTTTTCAACGTGCATGAATGAGCATTCATTTGTTGTAGAGGTCATACCTATATCGTTGTAAGCTATTGCATGAAATAGACAACTATACACTCTGAGAGTCTGCAGCATCAAATGGAAAGAAAGGCCTTGAAAAAGTATGATAAACCATCAATCAATATTGTCAAGGTATATATGTCGCCCCTGATTATCATTATCTACACTTGAAAGAAAGCCTTGAATGATAGCACAAAAATATTATCCCATGCACATAGGCAGGTCAACACCTTTCGCCTCCTCTTCTTCTTATCCCTCGACAGGTTGTTGCCCTCCCTTCCCCCTTCCGTCGCCCCCTACCCGCCTGACCCCGAAGAATGGGAAGAAGAAGAAAAAAAGGAACACCGAAAAAAAAAAGAATAATCTTTTGTGACAAGAAAACTTCCCCCTCAAATCATAGCTTCCTCCTCCAACCCTTCCTTCCTTCTTCCTCTCTTCGCTTTCTTCCCCTTTCCTTTTGTCTTCAGTTCCACTTCTTACAAGACCATGGCAGCAAGACCAGCCATGCCCAAAACACCAGCCATGGCGTGCTGCTGCTTGTCGGCGGCACCAGTCACATACGCGACAGGTGGAGCCACGGCCGCGGTGGCCTGGACATAGGTGGCAGCAGCGGCAGTGACGACTCCAGCCTGGCCTGCACCACCCGCCGCGGCACCACCTGCAGCACCACCTCCCTGTGCGCCAGATCCCTGTTTTGTTTTTCCATCGTCAGTTTCCCAGGTCCTCTCTCTAGGATATATCCACATGATTCTCTCATGGCGGGAGGAGAGGAGTCAAGTGACAGGAGAGAGAAAACAAGAATCACATACCCAGCCGGCTGCCACGGTGCAAGGGCAGTTGGTAATAGTAATAGTCTCATAATCCGTAGTAGCCGTGTAAAACACATTATTGTACGTGACCACAGTAGGCGTAGGGCACACGGTCGTGAACCAGTCGACGACGGTCCAGCTGCTGGGCGCGCTGCTCGAGGCAGGAGGAGGGGGAGGAGGAGGAGGCGGGGCCCCGCTCGAGGCCGCGATGACGATGGGGGCAACCTGAGGAGGGGGCCCACCGTCTGCGACCGCGGAGACGACGGCCGCGGCCGCGAGGGGGGTCATGAGGGCCTTGATCTGCATCTTTAGGTTTTGAGCCGATATGATGATGAGGTTCGAGTAGAGAGGCTTATGAGTAAGTGAATGTTGGTCGATGATGATGAAAAGACCCAACCAGCATCTTCTTCAGGGAGACGAAACCTCCCTCTTCTTATACCCCGCAAGACAACGCGTCCATCAACAAGGAATCTCCCCATGAGAATCAAAGACGCGAGAAGAAGAGAGAGAGAGTATGTGTGTTTGTGTGTGTGCGTGTGTGTAAACGACCAAGTGGCGTGCTGATCCATTTGCCGTCTTGTCTCACGGCACAGAAAAGGAAAAGGGAAACAACATCACGCGATGAGCCCCTCTGGAGAATGAAGAAAACCCGTGTGGTAAATGAAACCTGCGTGGCGATCGAGTTTTGCTCGAGGGGGCCGAAGCCTAACAGTCAGCCAAATTACTTTCAACATCGTGTGTAATAGAGAAAGTCCGCGACATACCGCGTCGAACCGCGTCTAGGCTAGAGAAATCTGCTGGATGGAATGGAGGTGCGAAGAAGACGAGAGCTGGTCGCGGGCACGCCGATGTGCTTTGCATTCCACCAGGCCGCTTCGGCGCGACACATACGCGACCTGCCAATCAAACGCGACCTGCATTCTGGAACCTGTTGAAATCATAGTTTGGCGATCCTTTTTTCTTAGCAAATCTGACTCTCTCGATCCATTTCTCTGCTGCTTTGACAAGGCGAAGGAGGCGATTATGGGTGATGTCACCGGTTGGTTTGGATTTTGGTATCGTTTGCCCGCAACTGATTCATCGATATATACACACGCACATTCTCTCTCTCTCTCTCTCTCTCTCTCTCTCTTTCTCTCTTTGATGCTTGGAAAGCCAACCTTTTCTCGATTTGGACCCCGCCGTGACGGACACGGTTGAAGATGGGATGACGTCTCTTCAACCCATCGTGCACAACTCTCTTGACTTGGCCGCCCAGATATAGATGATGTCCCATTTGGTCTCGCCGAGGGAAAGAAGTCCTTCCCTCCCCACCCATGTGTCTTCTTCTTCATCAAATTCTTGTCCCAAAAAGAATTTAATGTCCACCCCGACCCCGGCTTGGAGCACACTCTAAAAAAGCTCCTAACCACACGGTCAATGAATATATCTCTCTTTCTTTCCCTCTCTTCATGATCCTCCCCTTTTGGTCACCGACATGCCAAATAAAAAAGATAAATAAAAAGGAGACTCCGTTGACACCGTGCGTCAGCGTTGCTTGTTTCGGGTTCGACCGCGAGGTGAAAAGGTCAAATATGTGACCCACGCAGTGAATCGACGACGAACCTAAACCCCCCACACCACTTCTTCTCGTTTCGTGCTCACCTCTCCTTAAGGCGACATCTATAACCCAGTCCATCAAAAACGCCATCACCTCCATGCCCACAAAACCGAGAAAAATTGAAGAAAAAAAGGCGCACATTGTGGCGCTGGATGCGAGCAGAGATTCGGGAAGATGGCGTAAGGCTGCCCAGAACCCTCAACCCGATTCAGTTTATGTATATGAAGCGCCGAGTCAGTGGTTCTGAATGGTGCACTGCTGTCGCTGCAGCAAATAGATACCACTTCGGTGAACTGCGCGCCTGCGTTCCGAAAGAACGTGTCGTGGTTGGCGATATGTCGTCGGTGTCGAACTCCTTTTGAGGTGTCGAGCAAGACAAAACGGTAAATCCTAGGCTGTTCCGTCTCCATACGCCTCCACTCGGGGGGCAAGTGCGGTGCTGTCGCTTACAGCTGGTGATCTTACAAACAGCTCCAGCCAGTATCATCGGAAGGTGGATGTGCGTGTCGTGGCCATCACGACCTGGAAGCAGATCATCTCCAACCCTCAAAAGTCATGGAATTTCCCGCGGTGAAAAGAGCGCTGCCAGATCCCACAACTCCTACTTGCGGTTCGACCGACTCTGACTCCGATCGAGGCCCTTTCCAACAGGATATGATACCGAATCAAAGTCGTAGTTCTTGAGGACCGACTCGTATTTCGAGGTACGAAGGAACTTGGGGACCGAGTCCTGTTTTGCGAATCAGATCAGTTCACTTGTCCCTCGGGTTTGCGTAGAGAAGGATTAAATCAGAAAAGCAAAAGAAAAAGTCCACTATCAACTTACGCTGGCCATGAGCTTGAACACAGCATTCTGAGCATCCTCGAAGAGGGCCGTCACCTCGTGCAGGGTGTCGATCATAGCCACATCTTGCCCCACCGCCTTGGTCATACGAGTAGCAAGGTTGCTGCGGAGCTGGTGGTCGATGTTGAGCTCACAGGGTGAGCCCGGGGCGAGGAACGCGTTGTAAATGCCATATGCCTGTGCCATGATCTCCTTGATGCCGTCCATCGACGTCGTGGAGGGGTTCTTTTGCGCGTTCCGGATTGCCAACTTGCACTGCTTCACAAATTCGTCTACGTCGAGGTAGAAGGACAGATTCTCCTCGCAGTGCGTCTCCCGCAGGTTCTCGCGGAAGAGCAGGCGCAGTGCCGGGTCGCTGAGGATCTTCTCCAGCCGCTGCGTGTTTGAGTCACGGGGCAGCTTCTCGTTCGGCTTGTGATCGCGAGGGGTCGACTCTGCATCTGACGTCCGCCCTCGCGAGTTCATGCCATTGATGAGATCCTTGCCGTTGGGCGTGATTTGGTAAATGGAGTGCTTGGTCGGTTGGAAGAGCTGGCTGCCAGGGTACTGCGCCGTGTAGGCCCGGTCCTGCTGGACGCACTCCATGAGCCCGAACTCGACAAAGTAGCTTGCGATCTCTACCGTCTCTCGCCGGTCGACCGTGGTAGAGCAGTCCATCAGCCAGTCCGTCGCGGCCTTGCCTGTGAATGTCTCCTTGTAGGTCTTGCCTCCTATTTTGCGCTCAGCAGCCATCTTAACGCCGGTCAGACCGTCACTATAGTCGGACAACGACTCCGAGTCGGCGGCGTTCACGTTGCTCTTGATGTTCAGACCCTTCAGGCCGGTAAATCTCCTAAACACGACCTCCATGGTCGCCCGGTCCGTCTGTAGCTTGTCCGTCGAGCTTTCCCTCTCCAGGGATACCAGCTGCGTGAGCGCGGGGCCGATCAGCTCGGCCACCTGCTTCTGCTGGATACCGTTCTTGGAACAGAATTGGTCCAGGATGGCGATCCCCTTGGGCGTCAGCTGCCAGACCGATCCCTTCATAGTGTAGACCTGCTGCAGCTTGCCATCGGCGGATTCAATCAGGCGGGCCTCGAGGAAGCGCTGACATATGGAGCGAGCCATGTCCTTGGCCATTGAGAAGGTGGTTGTCGTTGTGGTTGTGACGATACGGGAGGGGTCTTTCGGGTCGGGCATGCGGTTCGACTGGGAGAATTTCAACGAGCCCAGGTTGTTGATGGCATCTTCGGAGAGGAAGGTGTGCTCGACCTTTGTTAACCTTACGCGGTGGGCCGAGAGCGGTAACAGGCTGACGATGAGCGTCGCGAAGAGGTCCTTGAAGTCCTGCAGGCGGGTTCGTCAGCATTGGTTTCCTGCCGTGTTGTGTGCGATTGAGAACGCTTGTAGTCCGGAAGCAGGAGGGGTTGTTCGTCGACGCCACATGCCAATGGTGCAGCATGGAGTTCTTCTTGTTTTCTTCTCCTTCCCTTATCTCCTCCCGAGTGTGTGGAGCAGCTGGGCAAATAAAGACGAATGAAAAGTTGAGAGGGGAAGAGGGAAGGTGGAGGGGAAGCGGGGGCCCAGTCAAAGTCGAGACTTACTTTCGTGAACGGCCTATCATCATCCGTCATCCGCAGTAGCCTCGAAGACGTCTGATGCATCTTGTTGTCGATTTTCGGCAGGTGAACTGGAGGAGGTTGCGAAGGATCGGTCTTGGAGTAAGGCTGGGCGTGAAACCCTTCCCGAGCCAGGTTGGGCTGGCTGGCTGGAACCGCCTTGTTGTAGGAGGGGCCTTGCTGGGAGGTGCTGAGCAGGTTCGTGGATGACGAAGAGGACAGAACCGAGGCAGGTCGGTGGTGGCGCGAGGTCTTATCCGGCGAGGAGGGATCGGCAGCACCACGCGAGAGGGCAGCGATATCCCCAGTGATCGACAGGCGGCTCAGAGATCGCTTATGGCGAACGTTGGGATCGGAAATTGTGTTGGCAATGGCCGTCTGGGTGCGGTCCAACGCAGACGCGGCAAAAGCAAAGAATCCGCCTGACCTCTGACCTCTCAGATCCCCGCGGGTGGAGCTGGCGCCAAACTGCTGATACTGCTGCTGCTGCTGCGACTGCGACTTGCGGCGGCCCTGCAGCAGGAGTGAAGGCCTGGAGGACGAGGAGGAGGGTGAAGGGCCGAGTTCTGCGACGGAATCTAGTGAAGGGTGTGGTGGTAGTAGTGCGGCGGGAGGCGTGACCGGTGCCGAGTAGGGACCGCTGAGATTGACAGGACTTGGGCGATGGCGGAAACGGTCCTGGCCCGCGGTGTTGTTGTTATTGTTGTTGTTGGAGGATGGTAGCGAGACTGTCGAGGCAGTGGCAGCAGTAGAGCTGGGAGAGGGCTCGGAGTCCTGGTCGGAGACGGAGCTCGGCGTGGACGGTAGGGACGAGAGTGAGGCAGAAGAGTTGAGGAGTGATGAGGACGAATGGTTGCCGCCGGTGGTATTATTGTGGAGATGAGCTGGTCGAGGAGAAGATGAGACGCCGGCAGCCATCTAACAAAGGGCCAAAGAGAGAAGAAGGTCTTGAGTTAGCAAGAGTGGAAAGAAAGAAAAAGAAGAAAAGAAGTCCCTTGGTCGGGGTCTTCTTTTTCTGGTTCTAGTCCTGGTCTTGTGTGTGCGCTGCGTGTGTGCGGTGTGCAAGAGGAGGTGGGAGGATAAATGGGGGGAGGGGAGATCGGGTCAGGTTCAAGGTCAAGGTCAAGGTCAAGGTCAGTCCAAGGCCCAAGACCAGGCGCAGGGCAGCGGCGGCGGTGGATTGTGGACACCAGCGACGTGACATGGACTAGGGCAACTGAGTCTTGTCAAGATTCCGGCGGGACCAGGCTGACTATGGAGTGGGTATTTTGATGATGGGAGGTGGAGGTGGTGGTAATAGTGGCAGTGGTATTTTATTTGATGTTGATGTAGTTGCATGTACTTGTGGTCGGTTGTGGGTTTGTCTGGACGCCGCATCACTTTGCCTCTTTTTGAGGACGAGCAAGAGGCCTTCTGATGTGTGATGATGGATCTTTAGGAGATGAGAGGAGGGGAGAGGGCAAGGAGGAAGAAGGGGAAGGCCAGGGGATGAGGGAACAAAAAAAAGAAGGCTTGCCTGCTGATGCAAAGGGGATGATCGTGCTGGCCGTTGTTGGACAGGAAATGAGCGGGCATTGAGCAGCAGAGGGGCCCTCGTGTCGTCGTGTCTCGCTCGTGCCGTGCGCAGTGATCCGTAACATGTACCGACCCATACAAAATCCAGCTGATTGATGCAGGTACAGTCACTGAACCGTGTTCGTGCAGCTGGGGTGGGCAGTGTCCAACAGAGCAGCAACGAGCGTGTGATGGAGACAGAGATAGAGAGAGACACAGAGGAGCAGAGGAGGCGTCCAGATGGGCTGGCTACGTGATGTGATGGCGATGAGAGACGATCATTAAGCGAGGCGGGATGGGCCGGGAACAAGAAAGCGAAGTCACAGGAGGAAGTGGAGGACAAAGATCAAGGGGAAAACCCGTAGGACCAAAAGAGAAAAGGGAAGAATGAGTAACAGGGTCAGAAGGGTTGAGATGTGAGCTGTGTCCAGGGGAGAAGGGGAGAATGGTGAAAAGGGAAAGAGTCGAGAGAAAAGAGGAAAGATAATACGCACGCAGCAATTGCTCACGCCCCCTCGGTTGGCTTTCTGTAGCCGTGTGGCGGCTTGCAGTAGGTTCAAACCACACGCTGCCGGATGCGACAGAAGGAGATTGAATGACGGATGGATTTGCAGGCTTGGGTGAGATGGATGGATGGATTGAACACGACGACCTGGGCGTGGCCTGGCCTGGCCTGATCTGACCTGTGACCTGACCTGACAGGAAGTCTGAGCCGGCAGGTAATAATAACAGTAATTGGGAGGGGGGAAAAAAAGAATTGGAGGGTGAAAAAGTGACAAAGTGACAGTGATGAACCACCCACCCACACAAACACACAAAGTTCCAAAAGAGGCTTGTCTTGATGGACACGGCAGAGGACGAACTCGGAGGGGAGAAGGGGTGTGTGTGTCTTGACTGTTCTTGGGAGGTGCCGAAAAAGGGTGTCGGATTGGCAGCTCAAACTTCTTTCTTTCTAGTCCAGGTCGGTTTTCCTGGCTACTGGGTACTCTGCTACTGCTTGTTCCTTTGCTGCGCAACGCGATGGAGCAGGAGCGAGGTACAAAAGTGGTATGGTACAATGGTACACCCAAAGAATGTGTCTCTTTCCTTTGCCCCGTTCTGCTCTCTCCTTCTCCTCTCGCACTCTCTCTTTTCCCTTCCCTCTCTCTCTCTCCCTCTCTCTCCACTCCCCCATCTGCTTGGGTACCAGAGTACTCCATCATCAGAAGGGAGAGAGATTTGCAGGACAGGGCGCGGACCAGGGCAGACCCCGAACGCCATGTGCTAAAGGCGTGGAGTATGGTGGGTACAAGAGGGGTCAAGTCGCCCAAGGGTGCAGGACATGGGTGTCGTCAGGGTGGATGAGCGCGCCAAAAAAGGTGAAGGGCACAAGTACAGTGCAGTACCTCGGTGATACGTAGTAGAGAACTCTCTGCAGGGGTGCTGCAGAGGCCGTTCGCACAGTACTAGTATGGGGTGGTTTTACTACTGTACGTACCGCCCAGGCAAGGAACAGACGGGTCGCTTAGGAAAAGACCCAAATTTTCTGAACGCGATGGTTCGACTCTAGACAGTGACATTCTGCGTCTTCAGTCCTCCACCATAGGAGAGACAGAGAGGGAGAGAATGGGTGTGAGAGAGAATGGGAGAGCACAGATAAGAGCTGTACTACGGTATTACGGTACTGCTATGGGATGTACATATCATGTAGAGAGACCGGGACAGGGAAGACTCGAGGCACACACGAGATAGGGTGGCAAGCACGGAACAAAGGTGACGGCCACATGGCACTCTTGGCAGCCACATGAATTTACAGAATGTACCAATGTATGGAGCAGAAGCGCAGCAGTGCTTACATATCCCGTACTCTCCCCTCCCCCTTCCCTATGGCATTCAAGCTAAAAGAGTTTATGAGCTTAGAGGGGGTAAAAAAAAAAAAAAGAAGAAAAGAGGAAGAAAAGGAGGGGGAAAAGATACAAAAAGAAAGCGTGCAGGGGAGCACAGCATGAGGTTGAGATCTGACTATGCACTTTTCTCAAGTCGGGCTCGTCCCGGTCAATAGAAGTGGCCGGTGACGCCGCAGCCTCACATCACTGCTACTACGTACAGTGCACCCCCGGCACATCCTGTAAAGGTGTGGTAGCGGCCAGTACTGCATACTACGGTACTAATAGTAGCACGATGATACATAGTGTTGCTGGTGCTGCACATACTGTGCATGGGATCCCTTTCCCTTCATGAGGTAAAAAGACCAAACCGAAAAATAATAAAAAAAAGGAGAGAATTTTCAAAACCTACCTGGGTCAGATTTGACACCAATGTGTTTATTCTGCCTAGCCTCTCTTTAACCCTCGTCTTCCCAATCATCTACGCCACACATCCAATCCCGAACTTGCCGTCCTCACAACAAAGGGGCCGTAAGCAGCCTCCCTATTGTCAAGGGTGTATCATGTATAAATAAGACACGATCAGCCATCAGAACAGCCCTTTTCATCACTTATGACAGAAAGTTAGAACAGGACAAGGGGCGGGATGATAGCAAGAATGGAGAAGATCGGGCGTCATCGTCTGACTCTGAGACAAGGGCGGCCCACCGACAGCGACGGAAACATCGAAACGGTATTCTGGAAGCATTCAATCACTTGCCACCTCAACCCCCGCCCCTCAACACCCCCTGGCAGCAGTATATTCATCATTCACCCAGGACATCTCTATATCCATTCAATCATCCATTCATCATGCCTGTTGATAAGTGATAGATCGGTTCGCGGGGAGGTAGGGGAAAGAGCCGACATTTTGAGTCCCCATGACGGCAAAGGCATTCCCGCATGACTCGGCTGAATATGACATGAAAAGCCCTTTTCCCTAAGAACAAGACATTGACTCTGGTTCCTGAGAAGTGAGTGTCAAAGCACGTGGGATCTAAGGGACAAGAGCTTGTGCCGGGCTGGTGTGGCTGGCTCGCTTTCAACGGAAGACCCGACAGCATAGAAGGAGGGGCCTTCCGGGTGACCTGTAGAACGATGATGGCATGAGGAAAAGGAAAAGAGGGGCCGCCACGTTCAGGAAATAGATTATCGACCCGATAGCAATATGGAAAGAAGAAGAAAAGGAAAAGTTTTTTTGGAATGTGCCCTGGTATTGCTGCCATGAATAAGCTCCCCAAGCAGCCAAGGAAGATGATCACACCATGATGACGGGCAGCAATACTGTGTGAGTGAAGAAGCTGGATGCCACGTGGTAGTGCATCCTCTGGGGTGTGCTGATTTGCTACTGTAGATGCCCACAAAAGGGCCCCGGTCGATTTTGTCATCTTGCTGCAGCAACCCCTCCCCCCTTGAGGAAAGAGCTTGGAGCAAAGAGAAAATCATGAATTAAGGTTTTTAAACAAAAATGAAGGGGGAAAATAGTTTTGAGTAGATAGGACCTTCTTTCTCACCAGACATGAGAAGATGTTTGCAGCGCATACGAGAAATATGGAGCAAAGTTGAGGGTTTGCAACCATCTAGGCT